CACACACACACACACACACACACACACACACACACACACACACACACACACACACACACACACACGCACTCACACACACACACACACACACACACCACCACCACCACCTCTCTCTCTACCACATTTGACCAGGCCTCTGCGCGACTGCAATATTGTCCGGATTTCGTCGGTGACGGACACTGGCTCTGTTTCGCCATCAACAACGACACCAGCGGACCTTCGCGGAATGGCCATTGCAGTCAGTTGCGCGCACAGGGTGATGGGGACAAGTGTGCGCGCGTGTGTGTGCATGCATGCGTGTGTATACTCACGTACTCACCCGTGTGCCTATTCCTTGCATCCCTTCCACCAACCCCCCCCTCCCCCACCGCTTGCTCGGAGTAGAGCTACTTCCTGGCGCAAGGCCCACTCGCCAGCCCCTTTCGCTCCCTGCTTGAGCAGCCGACCTACGCCGTCTCGTTTGACCAAGTCGCTGCTGTCCTGTTTGACCCTGTTCCCCCGCAGCACGTTCGTCATTTCAAATGGGGAAGGGGGCGAGGGGGTTTGATGAAGAAGAGGAGAAGAAGGGAGGTTCGTGTGTGCGTGTGTGCGTGTGTGCGTGTGCGTATGTGCGTGTGTGCGTGTGTGCGTGTGTGCGTGTGTGCGTGTGTGAGATTGTTGTTGTTGTGTGTGAGAACGGGATACTTCGAGGCGTGCTGATGGTTCCGTGTGGCTGCTTAGCCGATTGTGCACATGATGCCAACCCCGTTGCCTGCGCTTGTGCGTTCGTGTATGTGTGTTTTGCAGGCGCTGTATTCGCTCAATGGTGCACTCGTTGGGCTTTCCATGGTTCCACCAGCCCAACGCTTGACGGTGTGTGTGTGTGTGTGTGTGTGTGTGTGTGTGTGTGTGTGTGTGTGTGTTTCATGCACGTGTGCGCGCACGTCCTGTCATCACTCCCTTCGTTTATGCTCCGTCGCTCACGCTCCGTTGCTCACCTGTCTCCTTCATTTACCCCCTCCCCTTTCACCCCCCCCTGTCCTCTGCCCACCACTCGTCACGACTGCCAGCACCTTGCCACGGTGTCGGGCCATCGCGTCCGCCTCACGTTTGCCAACGACCCCGTCTCCATCGTCGGCTTTGGTCAGCGCACATGGCGTCGCTGTTCGTGTTGAGTTTGCGTTCATGCTGTTGTGTTTTGTTTCGTGAGCTTGTTTGTGCTACTTTCTTGTTTGCGTCACTTGCTTGATTGTGTTGCTTGCTTGTTTGCGTTGCTTGCTTGATTGTGTTGCTTGCTTCATAGCGTTCCTTGCTTATTGCCACTGTACTCCCCTGATACGAAACCGATTCCATCCCCTCATCGTCATCCCCCCCTGTCACACACCGCGTGCTGCAGGCATCGTCCGCGCGATTGACACTGAAGCGTCGGGAACGTTCCACATCATCACGCCTGTCCCGCCAGCATGGCTCGAGTCTGTTGTGACGCTCATCCACGCCCGCCTTTCGCTCCCGCACCCCTTGATGCAGCAGCAGGTGCGTGTGTGCGTGTGTGCGTGTGTGCGTGCGTGAGTGTGTACGTGCGTGTGTGCGTGTGTACGTGCGTGCGTGCGTGTGTGCGTGCGTGCGTGCGTGTGTGCGTGTGCGTGTATTGCTTGTGTTTGCGACAGCATGTTGACTTGTCAATGCCTCTGGCCCTCCAATGCCGCTGCTTTCTCCATGCACACGTTGCCTTGGACTACACATCAAGATGGCGACCGTGCCGGAGGGCGCGCCTGTGCCATACATGTCGGGCGACTTCTCTGGTGCAGCTGTTCAGGGCAGGAAAGCACGCACGACCCGGTATGGTGGCTGTAGGTGTTGGGAATGGGGTTTGACTTGGCGACTTTTCACAATGACACACAGCCAGACAGGCAGACAGACAGGGGCACACACACACACACACACACACACAGCCACACATACACACACACACAGTTGTACACAGTGCATCTGCTCAAGCCATATGTGACCATGTTGTGTGTGTGCGGTGTCTGCAGGCAAAATCTGAGCCGAAAGCGACTGCAATAGTAAGGGAGGGTGCTTGGCTGCAAGCCGTGCTGAGCTGAGTTGCAGCAAACACCGTCACGTCGTAGGTTCGTGTGTCGTGTGTGTGTGCGTGTTTGGAGTGGAGTAGGGGGAGAGAAGAGAACAGGCTTCGAGTAAAAGAGGCGAACGCGCAACAAACAGTGCAGGTGTGATTTGCGGCCACGGCGTGAGATGTCGACAGACACATAGACACACAGAGACAGACAGACAGACAGACAGACAGACAGACAGACAGACAGACAGACAGACAGACAGACAGACAGACAGACAGACACACACACACACACAGACACACAGACACAAAGCAAACAAGCCCTTCGACTGAATTCAGTTTCGACCTTTCCCACCACGTGCAAAGCGATACACAGCAGCCATGCCGATTGTCAAGAACTACCTGAGGTGCGCGATGATGGTGCTTTGCGTCGTGTGTGCTCGATGTCATGCGTGGCGCTTGTTTGCATGACAGCCACAGCCTCTTCGACACACCGTACAACGATCCACTTCTTCACACACACACATACACACACACATACACACACATACACACACACACACACACACACACACACCTTGAAAGGTATGGCCCGGAGGCCAGCTATGGCGTGATCGCCAGTGCAGAAGCCAATGGTGTGATCCTCGCACCAACGTTGGTGGCCATGCCTGCGCTGCAGGATGTCCTCATCTGGTGCACCAAGACTGGCACCGTGGTACGTATTCGATCCTGTGCACCTATCGTTGTCGGCGCTCCAGTTCGCTGGAGTGTACATGACGATATCAGCTCCAACGCGGCTCACGCCGTCCTTGCCCCTTCTTCACCACCCCAGTCCTCTCTCTCTCTCATACACACACACACACACACACACACACACACACACACACACACACACACACACACACACATTGACCGCTGCTGCTTTTGGCATGGCGGTGTGCGTTCTCGTGTGTGCAGGCGAAGCGCCTGTCCGACGGAAATCACGTTGTGACATGCATGTGCAAGAGCCCAACACAGCAGCAGCTCGCCGTGGGTTACCACAACGGTGATATCCAGGTTTGTCACCCGCACCCCGCCTCTCCGTCCATTCTGCCTGCCACGTGTACAAGCACCCGGGGGAGGGAAGCAAAGACGTGTATGCCGGGCTGTCTTGTGAGCAGCAGCTCAGCAAAGGAACCATCCACACCTTGTGAATGAAGCTGTGATGCACTGTTGCTTGCGCACCTGCATTCACATCCAACTCACGTGCACTCTCGCTGTTGGCGCTGCTGAACGACACCAGATCTGGGACTACGTGACTGGAGAGTCGGTTGTCTTGTTCAGTGGTCATCGCTCTGCTGTGACCTGTCTCAGCTTCAGTGAGTCTGGCACAAATCTCGTTTCTGGCAGCCAAGACACAGATGTCATTGTCTGGGACGTCATCAACGAGTCAGGTAACGTCGTGGACCATGTGTGTGTGTGCGCGCATCTTTGCTTGAATCCACACTTGCACAGTAGTGCGAACACACCTATTTGTACGCGCGTGTGGGTACACACACTTGCACACACATGCACACACGCTTGCCTCGTGGACTTGCTAACTCTGAGCCCCTGCGTGCAGGCGTGTTCCGGCTGCGCGGGCACAAGGGCCCCGTACACGCTGCCCGACTGTTGGAGAAGAGGAATCTGCTCGTGAGCTGTTCCCGCGATTCTCTCGTCAAGTTCTGGGATCTCGATACCCAGCACTGCGTCCACACCATCATCGCACACCGCGCAGAGGTGTGCTCGTGTGTGTGTTTGTTTGTGTGTTTGCGTGTGTTTGTGTGTGTTTGTGTGTTTGTGTTGTGTGTTTGCGTGTGTTTGTGTGTGTTTGTGTGTTTGTTTGTGTTTGTGTGTTTGTGTGTGTGCTTGTGTGCAGCGCGTCAGCTTGTGTGTAACCTGTGTTCATGTGTGCTTCAACACGCCACTCAACCACTTACACACTCCCATTCGCTCACCGCTGTTCCCCTGTAACACCATTCGGTATCACTGCGTCTCGTGCTGGTACACGTCGCGTGCGTCTGTGCGTCTGTACGTGTGTGCGTCTGTGCGTCTGTATCTCAGGTGAACGATTTCATTCTGTTGAACAACGAGGAGCGGATCATCACCGCCAGCGCCGACGATCAGCTCCGCGCCTGGGACATCACGTACCGCAAGGTCCGCACGTGTGTGGTCGTGTGTGTGTGCGTGTGTGTGTGTGTGTGTGTGTGTGTGTGTGTGTGTGTGTGTGTGTGTGTGTGTGTGTGTGTGTGTGTGTTCGTGGATGGGTGCATCCACGAGTGCGAGTGCGCGTGTGTGGAAGTGTGCCTGGCCGTGCGTGAGTATGTATGTGTGCATGTGTATGCGTCCCATTCACCCGAACGCGTGAAACGATGTCATTTCTGCTTCTTCAGGCGTTTGCAAAGTCAGCGCTCGTTGCTGCGGACATGAGTGGCCAGGACGGTGCCGATGACCATGGTGATGCTGATGGCGATGAGGTTCAGCAAACGAAGAAGGCAAAAACGGTATGTTCATGTCATGCACACACACACACACACAGGAACATGAACACACATCCACGACTCAACAGTGGTATCAGCCATCATCACACCACAACGCCAGCACCACACGCTGTTTTGCTCACAACACACACACACACACTAAATAGGAGGATGTGGACGTGAGTGCATCTCCCATCACGACAACACAAGTTGGCGCACTGACGAAGAAAGGAACAGGGCGTGCCATTCATCTTCTCGTCACCCCCGATGAGAAGTGTATCATTTGCCAGGTACAGTTTTGACACAAGCCAACACTTGTGTGTTGGTGTGTGTACGTGCTCTTGTGCATCGTTGCTTGCGATTCAGGAGGGACAGATGTGCACACATATGTGCGCAACACATGCAATACGAATAACACACACACACACATTTACACACATTTTACACACACAACCACCACCACCACCACCACCACGATTGCGCCTTCATGCAGAGCGCCGGCAAGGGCGTTGACACGTTCCGGATCCGAACGGCTGCCGAGCTGCACAAGAGGAAAGCGCGGAAGCTCAAGCGACAGAAGGAAAAGGGGAACAAGGGTGAGTCACGGTGCACCTGCTGTGTTGACATGCCAGTGCCACACTCCGCAATGTGCCACACGTGCCACAAGCACGTTGTGCGCTGTGCGCGCTGTTGCGTTTTGGACTTGTCCTGCCGGCAATTGTGTTCGCGGGTGTCTGTGTGCCTTTCACCCATCCCCCATCTGTGTCACGGCTGACGCGCGTGAACCCTTTTCTATTCTATCGCTTCCACGTGCATGTGTGTTGATGAATATGTGTGCATTTGTGTGCATGTGTGCATTTGTGTGCATTTGTGTGCATTTGCGTGCATTTGTGTGCGAGCAGAGATCAAGGCAGTTGAGCTGACGATGAGCGACATGTATCCCCACGCGGGCCTCATCACGTGCTCCAGCCCCGTGCGCAGCATCGACGTCCGCGCGGCGGGTCCCGACACGTACAGCATGCTCGCTGCTCTCGGCAGCAACGCCTTTGAGGTGTACGCCCTGAACCGCACCGCAAAGGGCGTCACGTCCTCCCGTGCCTCGTTCCTCTCCCTCCCCGGACACCGCAAACCCATTCGGTGCGTTGGTTCGTTTTGTGTCGCTTGTGTGTCTCGTTTATCTTCGTGGTGCTTTTGCGTTTGTCAGTGAGGGTGTGTGGATCACAGTTGCGGCTCGGGGGGCGGGAGCATTATCACGTGACTGCGCCTGTCATTGGAGTGGCACCAGCAAGTGTTTCGTTCATCCACTAACGTCCATCGTTCTCACTCTGCTCGCAACTACATACCCTTCCTCTGTGTGTGTATGTGTGTGTGTATGTGTGTGTGTGTGTGTGGGGTGTGTGTGTGTGTGTGTGTGTGTGTGTGTGTGTGTGTGTGTGTGTGTGGCCGTGTGTGTGTGTGTGTGTACACCCCCCTCCGTTTCATGTTTGACGTGTTCTACAGCGCAATTTGCGTGAGTTCGGACGCGGCGCTCGTCCTTACCACATCCAACAGCACAGCAAAGCTCTGGAACAGGTGAGCAAAGCACGGCACATGTTTTCCGCGACTGGGCGCTGTTATCGTGGACGCGGACACCTATGCCTGGGTGTAAATCGAGAGACCAAACGCATCA